AGAGGGGGAGGGTCTCCTACAGAGGGGGGAGGGTTCCCTGGAGAGGGGAAAGGTCTCCTACAGATAAGGAAAGTTCCCTGGGGGGGGGTCCCCTACAAAGGGGGAGGGTCCCCTAGAGAGGGGGGAGGGCCCCTGGAGAGGAGGGGGCGGCCTCAGGCCGCGCAGGCCCTGGCGCCGCCGGAGGGAGGCTGCGGGGCGGCTGGGCCGGGCCGGGCCGGGCCGGGCCGGGCCGGGCGGGGACAGGGCAGAGCGGGCGGCCCGGCAAGTCCCCCGCGGGCCCACGTAGCCGGCGCGCGCACTCACCGCCTCCTCCCGGAGCCAAACCGACCAGACGGGAACCAGCGAGACGCCGGAGGAGCGGGAGAGAGCAGCCCCGGAGCCGGAGAAGCAGCGAGAATGGGGCGGGCAGAGGGGCCTTGGAGGACCGCGTCGGCCCCGCCTCCTCGGCGTCGCGGCTCCGCCCCTCCCCTTGCACATGCGTAAGAGGGGGAGGGGGGAGGGGAGGGGAGGGAGAGAGGATTAAGCGTGCGCGTGCGCGTTTTCGTTCTCAGAGGACAAGTGACTTCATTCTAGCTCACAGGCAACACGCATTTATTAAGCACTTGCTGTGTACCAGGCACTGCACTTGGCGCTGGGATACAAATGCAAGCAACAGAACAATCCTTCCTCAGTATGCATGAAAATACATGCAACATAAATAAGACAGTAATAAATTTTGTATGTGCAATATAGTTAATACAAATAGTTAAATATAAAATAGTTTGGGAAGGAGGGTGCTGGAAGTTGGGGCAGTCAGGGAAGGCTTCAAGCAGAAGGTGGTGCCTTAAGTGGCATCTTAGAGGAAGAGGAGAACTCCAAGGCCAGGGTGAGGAGAGACAGTGTCCCAGGCATGGGTCAAGGCCAGTGCAAAGGCTTGGAGACTGGAGATGAATTTCAATGAGTGTGGTGCGCGGAGAAGGCCAAGATTGGCTGGATCAAAGATTTGGTGGGGGGCAAATAATGTAAAATGAGTCTGGAAAGGTAGGGTGAGACCAAGAGGGCTAGGCCTTTAAATGCTAGAACATTTATATTTTATTCTAAAGGCAACCAGGAGCCTCTGGATATGGTTGAATAGGGAAGTTGTGGCATGGTCAGATCTGCATTTAAGGAAATTCACCCGGGATGAACTGGAGTGGGGAGAGACTCGAGGCAGGAAGACCAGTTAGCAGGGCGTGGGAGGTGATAAGGTCCTGAACTACTCTGTGTGAGTAGAAGGGTTTGGCTGCAGGGGTGTTCTGGTATTTAACAACTGGCCCTCCCCTTCAAACAGAAATGTAAGCAAGATAAGTCTGAGAAGTAGTAGATCAGGGGACATGAGAAGACCAAGCAATTGTGAGACTGAGGAATTTGAGGGAGGGTCTGCATGGATTTTAAAGGCCCCTAATCTAAGGGCAAGAGTTGGGGAAGAGGAAAGTGATGAGGCAGGTGCTGAAGTCCTTGAGAAAAGAGGAATAACATTTGGGGGCCAGTAGACTGCAACCACCATGACTTGGATTTCATGGAAATTGTGTTTGCTGGGAGAAGGAGGTGAAGGGAAGGGCTGGAAATGATTGGAGAGAAGTAAGCAGCTAGGGAGCACAGTGGAAAGAGTGCTGAAACTTGGAGTCAGGAAGTCCTGAGTTCAAATCCAGCCTCAGACACATCCTAGATGTGTGACCTTGGACGAGTCATTTCACCTGTCTCTGCCTCAGTTTCCTCACCCGTGAAATGGAGATCATAAAAGCACCTACCACCCATCTTTGGGTAGGTATTTGTAAAGTGCTTTGCAAACCTTAAAATACTATATAAATGCTGGCTATTATTAGGAGACTATCACAGGAATCTGGTTGTTTGCCGCAGGAAATAACAGGAAGGATGTTGCAGAGAACAGAGCGGTGGCTTAGAAAGCTGTTACTGATAGTGAAAGTCCTTGCATCTAAGAAGTCTCTCAGTTTTTCCATATTGTACAAAAAGGAAGCTAGGACTGCTAGGGGGCACAACACAGTGCATAGAGCACCCAGCCTGGAGTCAGGAAGACCCACGTTCCTGAGTTCAAATGTGGCCTCACACGCTTGCTCGCCGTGTGACCCTGGATAAGTCACTTAACCTTGTTTGCCTCAGTTTCCTCCTCTGTAAAATGAGCCAGAGAAGGAAATGGCAAATCCCTCCAGTATCTTTGCCAACCCAAATGGGGTCATAAAAGAATCAGGCACAACTAAAAAAAACAACTGATAAATAAGCATTGATTCTGGAAAGAGTATGTGTCAGTTGACTTCCTTATGGCCTATCTCACCATCCCTGTTACTTTCCAGACCAAAACACCCTTCCCTGGCCACCTCTTCCCTATCTCTCTCTACTAGAGTACAGACATGGCCTCAATTCAAGGTTTGCATTTCCAGGGCTTAACACATAGCAAGCACTTACAACAGTTATCCATCCAATCATTCAGAGACTAGCTGAGTATCAGCTAGCACCCCTGCTAGACTGTGAGTACCTCCAGAGGTCGGGGGATGTCATCGAAGTCTTCATTTTCTGTATCTTTCTCAGCCCAGCCTGGCACCATGTATGCCCACAGTAGCACATGAGAAATGCTTTTTCACAAGGTGGTAAAAAGGATCTTGGGATGAGGAGATAAATTCTCACTCCAGCTCTGCTCTCCATACTCAGGTGACCCTGGCTGGGCAATCCCTTGCCTTCTTGAGGTCCTCTCCTTTCTAATGGGGTGATGTCTCACTGAACAAGTCACTGGTCCTCTCTGAACCTCAGTCCCAGCTTCCTGGGGGCCATCATCACCTTCCATCTCTTTCACTCCAGTTTCAGGGGCAAGCCCTCATGCTGGCCAAGGACAACTCCTCCACATACTTCCTTCAGCCCATTTCCTCCCATGCCCCCAGCCAAGTGCCCCTCTATCATCCTCACTCAATCTCTTATCCTTCTATCTCTTCCTATCTACTGGCCCCTTCCCTGCTGCCTGTAAACACACTTATGTCTCCCCCATTCTGAAAAATCTCTCAGTTGACTCGATCATCTCCACTAGCTGTCATCCCATAATCTCTCTTTCCCTAGATGGCTAAATTCCTTGAGAAAGTTGTCCCGCTTTCTCTCCTCTCTCTTCTAACGACCCCAATCTTCAGTAGAAACCACTCTCTCCAGCATTACTAATGCTCTCTCAGTCACCATCCTCATCGTCCTTGGCCTTTTTGAAGCTTCTGACTCAATTGATCACCTTCTATCCTGGGTAGTGAATTCTCTCCAGGGCTTGCTTTTTTCTTATTTAAACTTAGCGTTCATTCAATGTAGTAAGAACAATACACATTCTATTATGTGTGGCCCCAGTCAGATACCCAATAGTACAAATTCTCTTCAAGGTAGAGGCATCTGGTGGCTAGTGGATAGAGCACTGGGCCTGGAATCAGCAAGACTTGAGTTCAAATCCAGCTTTAGACACGTACTTGCTATGTGACTTTGGACAAGTCACTTCACGTCTGTTTGCCTCAGTTTCCTCAACTCTAATATTAGAGCAATAACAACAGAGCGTTGAGAGGATCAAATGAGATAATATTTGTAAAGGGCCTGGCATATGATGACAGAGCGTTGAGAGGATCAAATGAGATAATATTTGTAAAGGGCCTGGCATATGATGCTGTCCAATTCTCTGTGATCCCATTTGGGATTTTCTTGGCAAAGGTCCTGGAGTGGATTGCTATTTCCTTCTCCAGCTCATTTTACAGATGAGGAAACTGAGGTCAACCAGGTTAAGTGATTTGCCCAGAGTCACACAGCTAGGAAGTGGTTGAGGCCAGATTTGAACTTAGGAAGATGAGTCTTATCAGTGCTATTAGCTTTGATTCGAGGATGGTTCCCAGAGCAAGAGATGGGTGGTATAGCATGGAAGGATGGGTGGCGAGAATGTGGCCAGAGTAGATAGTGGGATGGTATATGGAGCATTGCCTGGCCTGGGGTCAGTTGGATAGGTCTAGTGGGTTATGGGAGCTTTCTACTTACTCACCAATTAGGACAGCTTCATCCCAGGGCGGGAGTTCTGAAACTGTGTGGAGTAAGGCCCTAGGGAAGGGCCTTTGGAAGTGTCTGGGGCGGAAGGTGCCACAAAGATGACAAGAGTGGATGTCTGGAGATATCTAGAGATAGAAATATAGACATAGATAATGTGCTTTGACATCCATTCTTTCATCTAGTCCTTACATTAGCCCCTTATAGATTTCTAAGGCAAGAATTTTGGTGATACAAATGAAGTTCAAATGAGAAATTACTTACTTTCTTAAAAAAAAAGTTAGATTCTGGAATTTATGAGACCTTGCTCAAAACCTAGTTCCATTTTTCAGTTGCCCAGTGTCCAAGCTCCAAAGGCCCTTAGAGGCTGTCTAGTATGACCTTTCCTTTTGCATGGAGAGAACTGAAGTCAAGAGACTAGCTCATTCTGCCAGGCAGGAAAAAGCCAAGACCGGAGCACGTGCCTCCTGGCTTCTACCACAAAGCTCTTTCCACTACCCCATACCCATCCTTCTACTCTGAAAGCCCTTCGTCTCTGTAAAAGGAAATCATTAAGATAAGTCTCATTTTCCTTCTCTGTAAAATGGGGGAAACACAGAATGTCAGAGCTGGGAGAGACTCATAAAACATGGAATGTCCGAGCTGGGAGGGCCCTTGGAGCGGGGAATGTCAGAGCCACCATACTTTAAATTGGGTTTTCAGAGATGGAAAGGACCACTGAGGGCAGCCCAAATCTGATTAGGAGAAATTTTTTTTTTTTTTTAGGCAATTGGGGTTAAGTGACTTGCCCAGGGTCACACAGCTAGTAAGTGTCAAGTGTTTGGTCTGAGGCTGGATTTGAACTCAGGTCCTCCTGACTTCAGGGCCGGTGCTGTATCCACTACGCCACCCAGCTGCCCCGCCCAAATCTGATTAAAAATCCCCTCTACAATCCTGGGGGGTAACCGCATACCCTATGATTAAAACCCTCCAGTGATGGGGACCCTGTGGTTTCTGAGGCAGCCCGGTTCCCCTTCTGGGCAGCTCCAGTGTTGAGGAAGTTTTCCCCTCTACCAATCTAAAATGTTCCTCCCTGTAACTTATACCCAGGGCAGCTAGGTGGTGCAGTGGATAGAGCACTGGGCCTGGGATCATCTTCCTGAGTTCAAATCTAGCCTCAGACACTTACTAACTGTGTGACCCTGGGCAAGTCATTTCACCCTGTTTGCCTCAGTTTCCTCATCTGTAAAATGAGCTGGAGAAGGAAATAGCAAAACCACTCCAATGTCTCTACCAGGAAACCCCAGATAGGGTCATCACGGTGACTGAAACAATTCAACTCAACAACAACAACAACAAAAAACGTACCCTCATTGCTCCTGGTTATGTGTAACCAATCTGCTCCTTCCTCTCCAACATCATACTGGGAATATATTGGAATTTCTCCAGCTTCCTATGTGAGTCTTCTC